TCCCTTTTATATTGGGGCTTTTGAGAAAATGGTTTCTTTTTATTAACACTAATAAATTATGAAGCTATCAAGTTGAATATTCTATTTGAGATCATTTTTTGAACTTGTTATGCACTGGTGTTTCTGAGAAGTGGGAAAGAACTCTCCTGGTAATATTGATGCTTTGCAATTTGAGAAATAAATTAACCTTTGGGTGCTAAGTTCTTCTTTTGATCCCTGCAACTCACATAGCTTCCACAGTGGAAGAGATCTGTTAGAATGTTAGAGAATTTACGGTCGTTTTCCCCGGAACTTACAATGCTTTGCCGTTGTCATTGAGGATGACTGATGAGATGAATAATGATTTATATGAGTATGAAGTATTGCATACTCATAATCTCTTAATTGCATGCCTCACGCCGCGTATAAAATTTTGATTATATAAATCAACAATTGAGGCAAATGGATAAGTGAATAGCTTAAACAATCTAATGAGTAGTTTAAACAATCTAATCATCTAAGTCAACCTCCTACATGGTTATTTAACAGAGTATGATCGAAGAATTATGATGCAAGTTGAAAATGTTGTCCTGTTTTAATTCATATGTTGATATATCAATACATCATTGCGTCATAGTCCTCTCCATTCACCTTGAATGTGCTTTGTTTTAGAGCAAGTGCACCAAGCTCCCACCGCCGCTCTCAAGGCCTACGTGGCGGTGGGAGCTTTTAAACCCCCCCCTCCAACAAACTCTCAGCAAGCTCCCAAGGGGCTCCTTGGGCTGATGTGGCCAGTGGGGCCCACCGGAGCTCTTGGGAGCTCCCAAGCGCTCCACAAATTTGTGGAGGGAGCTCCTAAGCGCTCCACAAATTTGTGGAGCGCTTGGGAGCTCCCAAGCATTAATTTTTTTTTTTTACAAACCCCCCCTTACTTTTAAACCCAAGCCTTAAAGAAATATTTTTTTTGTTGCGAAAAAGTCTTTGGCCTTTGTATCTTTGCGATAGAAGTGAGGTTTTTTGATAGAAGAGGGTTTTTTTTTGATATTGTTGGAGCTCCTAACTAGGAGCTTGTTGGAGCTCCATAAAATAAGGAGGTGCTCTCAATGCTTATTTTTATAATTTTTTATTTCAAAATGCTTGAGAGCTCTTGAGAGCTTGCTAACTAGGACTCCCAACTGGGAGCTTGATGCACTTGCTCTTACATCTACATTCACAATTAATAATATGGTTTTATTATAATGAGAAGTTTGACTTGCAATTGTACTTGAGTCCTATATAAGGATCTTTGTTTGCATCTCCCAGAGTAGGGAAGGCTTTTCTATCTCAAAATAGTGCAAGTATTTCCGTATGTTTCTGTCCTCCCTTTTGGAACAACAATTAACATTGTGTAGTATAAGTACTTGTTTAGCGTAATATACTTGTGACTGCTAATTCAAAGTGTAGTTTATACCTGCATTCTAACTATTCACTCATTGCACAGGTGAAAACTCAAGATGGGCACTTCAGTTTCTGATGAACCAGTTGCAAATGAATCAGACATTCATAGCTTGCCTTCTTCTCGCCGACACACAGAGAACTTGCCATCACTTTACAAGGTGGGTTTCCACCCTCGGAAGAAATTAATGAGAGAGTTCACTGAAACTATGAAGGAGACTTTCTTTGCTGATGAGTCGCATTTCTACTAGTAATACTGGAAATTTTGGGGGAACACACTCCTACTAGTAATACTGGAAATTTTGGCTATGAGTCGCATTTCGGAGGTAAGTTTTTCTCCTTTGCTATCTCTCGAGATTTCTCCTAACTATATATAACTAAGGGGAAAACACAAACTCAGATAAGACTGATAAAGGGTTGGAAGAACCTAGAGGATCAGTCTTCTCAGGTTGGCTTTGACGCCATAATGATTTCTGTTAAGAGTTGGGAAAATTATCTTAGTATGGTGCTTATAATACAACTTGCATTAGATGATAGGTGTACTTTTGCCAACGCAAGCCTGGATCAGTCTTCAGAAGGATGGCTTGCCAATTGCTTATCCGATATTGATACGCATCGTAGTTCTTGGTGAAATGTCAGTACAATTTCTATAACATGAGCTTATATCTACGTGTTTGTTACTTTCTTCACTCTAATTTACAAGTCCAAATGTTGATGTAGGTCTTCGTTTATGAATGACTCTTTATATGTTGCTGATTCTTTTTTATGTAAACATGTGTTAATTGGATTGCTCTTTTGATGTATGCTAAGCATCACTAGTTTATATGCAACTCACAAATTTATGAATTTATTTATTAGATATTAAAAAAACTTAAGAGTTGTATGCTATTTGCATTGCTTGTTGTTATATGTCTACATCTCTTGCATATACTTGAGCTATATACCCATATTTAATTTGTTGTTTTTATCTTTGGTGCAGGTTACACATGTTGGTGCAGTATCTAATAGCTTGTAATGTGGGGAAACTTATGTTTTATATGTATATTGAATTAGTATTGGAACTTTAATGTTGTAATTGTTTGTTTTAATAATATATACAGTTAATTCATATGAATATAATTTAGTTGTTCAATATTGTGTACATGCCCCAAAAGTAGATCCTGCAAAAAAAAAAAAAAAACTCACTGTAGCATATTATCCTAGACGGAAATTCCGTCTAAATGCTAAAATTCTGTCTAGGATGATTTTTTTACAAAAAAAAAAAAAACATCAATTTCCGTCTACGATGAGTATCCTAGACGTAAATTTCCGTCTAGGATATTCATTCTAGACGGAAATTTTTTCCGTCTAGGATGCATTATTCTAGCCGGAATTTTCGTCTAGAATAATCCGTCTAGGATGTATTCTAGACGTTTTTGAATTTCGTCTAGAATATTCTGTATAGAATGTATTCTAGACGGAAATTCCGTCTAGAATACTACATCCTAGATGGAAACTTTCTAGACGCGTATCCTAGACGGAATTCCGTCTAGAATACTCATCCTAGATGGAATTCTGAGTATCCTAGACGGAATTTTCTGTCTAGGATACCTTATTTTTTACCAGTGGTAGTCGATGTTTCTACGATGTGTATAAATAATGTGATCTGCACTTATTAAAGATGAATTCAAGACTTGAGAAGGTAAAAATCTTGTACAGTTGCATTTGTCGTTCTAGATGCACTTCGGATTAATAAACAATCGAATTGAATTGTATTGTTTCGAATTGAGTACTAAAGTGTTCAAATATGTTTTTTTAAAAATTTATCGAATTCAAATTCAAATTCGAATATACATTTGAGGTTTTTCAAATTCAAACTCGAATACTCAATATTTGATAAATATTAACGATTCATGAATTTATTGAAGTATATTCATTCTGTTAAACAATTTGATTTTTAATAGGAGTCAAATTTATAAATGAAAATTAGTCCTATGTATATATACTTAATTAGAATATTTTACTAGAAAACTAATTTAAGATTATTTATGTCTCTCAAAATTAGAATATAGATTTTAAGTAGAAATGTTAAATGGGTTACAAATATAAAATTTATAAAATATCATGGATTATAACTCATGAAATTGAGAATTTTGGACTCCATAAAATTATCTACCAATGGGTCGAAACAACTTAAACTGGTAAAAAATTGTTGATTACAGCTCATGAAAATATAAAATATGGCTATTACGAAATTATTTGTCAATAAGTCGAAACAACTAAAAGTGATAAAATTCACGAACTATAGCTCATAAAATCGTGAATGTTGGACTCCACAAAATTATTTCCCAATTGGTCAAAACAATTAGAAATAGCCAAAAACCATTGATTATAACTCATGAAATCATGAATTTTACGCTCTGCAAGATTATTTACCAATTGGTCGGAATAACTAAAATTGATTTGTGGGCTATTGTTCATGAAATTATGAATTTTAGACTGCGAAATTATTTGCTAATTGGTTGAAACGACTAAAAATGATTAAAAATCGTGGGTAATAGCTTATAAAATCTTGAATTCTGTACTCCGTGAAATTATTTGTCAATGGCTCGAAATGACAGAAAATGACCAAAAATTGTAGGTTATAACTCATGACTAAAAATGACCAACAATCGTGGGTTATAACTCATGAAATCGTAAATTTTGAACTCTGCCAAATTATTTGCTAATAGATTGAAATAAATAAAAATGACCAAAAATCATGGGTAATAACTCATGAAAAAAATGAAAATTTTATTCCGAAAAATTATTTACAAATACATCGAAACGAGTAAAAATGGCAAATAGTTGTGGATAAAATAGCTCATGAAATCTTGAATTTGGACTCTGTGAAAATATTTGCCAATAGGTTGAAATGAATAAAAATGACCAAAACTCATAGGTAATAGCTCATAAATTAGTAAATTTGAACTCTGTGAAATTATTATCCAATGGGTCGAAATGAATAAAACTAGCCAAGAACGTGGGTAATGGTCATGAAATCATGAATTTTGGCCATTGCGAAATTATTTGTCAATGCGTCGGAACAACTAAAAATGATTAAAAGTCATGTGTTATAGCTCTTAAAATCTTGAATTTTGACTTGGTGAAATTATATGCCGATGGGTCCAAACAATAAAAATGGCCGAAAATTATTGATTATAGCTTATGAAAATATGTATTTTGGCCATAGTGAAATTATCTGCAAATGTGTTGGAATAGCTAAAAATGACAAAAAATCATGACTTATAGCTTTTAAAATCGTGAATTTTAGACTATAAAATTATTTGCTAATTTGTTAAGATGATTCAAAATGGCACAAAATGTGTGGGTAATAGCTCATAAAATTATAAAATTTTGACCTTTGCGAAATTATTTTCCAATGGGATGAAACAAATAAAATGGCTAAAAATCATGGACTAAATTATTTACTAGAGAGTCAAAACAATCAAAAATGGTCAAGCCTTTGCAATGACTAAAAAATATGGGTTATAGCTTGTAAAATTAGTTTTATGCCCATTCATTGGATGATTCAGGTCTGACTCTAAAATTTTTAATAATTGTTTTTTTGGGTTGTTGCACCTTTATTAACTCTAAACTTCATTGCTATGATCATTTGTTATTTTTTCGATCACCAGTCTGTTACAATACTGGGGGTGGGGTGAGGGGGTCCCCTTTGATTTTTTCCTGCTAAGTTTGGTCAGAAAACTTTATAACAAACTCGATTTCATCGATGAAAACTCTTGGAATGTAGGTTTTCTCATTGTGCTTGGGTTGGGAACTACGTTTCGGCTTGCATTGGAGTGCTGCCAAGACTGGGAATCTCGAAGACACGGCACAGACATCCCTATAAACCTTGGGTATCATCCTGCTGTGTAAATATACTTGTATGTATAATAATACACTTCATTATACAAAGAATGCCAGTTTCAGTTTTTGTGGGTTTTAGCTTGTTCATTCTTTTCATTTATTACTAGTTAATCACTTCTCTTTGAGTGATGGAAACAGTTGGTGATTCTAGATCAAGTTCAAAAGAGAAGAGATCATTTGAGGTAAATTCTTTTAAAAATCCTATATTAGTTCATCATGGACATAAAACAGCTCCTCATATTATTCATTTCTTGGTAACATGCTAGCTTGCATAATAACTGGATACAGTTTTTGTTATCTTTGTTCATTTACCATTATAACACATGCATGTAGTGCTTATTGTTATTTAATTTGTTTACTTACATGGATGGATGTATTTGCGAATTTATACTGTTCATAATAAACCAATAATCAAAATTTCCTTTCTTTCATTTACTTTTTTTTAATTCGCATGTGTGTACAACTTTTATTTGTGCTTAGTATGTTGTGAAAGCAAGATAAACAATGATAATTAATTTGTGATTCGTCATAATGTAGGCCATGTTTACGTTGATGTGTTTTTTCCACGAAGCTTGATCTGGATTGGGCCTGGTTACGATAACTGGATGTTACGATAACTGGATTGGGCCTGATTATGACTGTCTTGGTCCTACATGTAGAGATGGAGGTCAGAAGCAGTTATGGAAGCAGACAGATTGGCGATCGACCGCTGCGGTCGATCGCGTTCGTGCACAGAAGGCACTGTGTGTCAAGGTTGGTGGCGGTCGACGGGCGGTCAACCAGAAGTTTCTGCGTTTTGTGACGGTCGACCGCGCGCGGTCGATCGGCAGGGGTTTCTGGGAAGTGTCGATGCTGTTCGGGATTGTCGTGGGTCGACCGTGGCAGTCGACCGTGATGGATCTCGATCGACCGCCGTAGCGGTTTTGGGCTGGGTCTGTTTTCCAGACCCGTTTTGTTTGGGTTTTCTATAAATACCCAAACTCGATTCTAGGGTTAGTAAGCAAGGGGTTTTTGAGCAGATTTAGAGGGTTTTCTTTGGGTTTCTATTCTAGGAGCAATTGGTGAGATCAAGAGTTGATTTGTTGAGGGTTTAAGAGTGATTTGTAACCCTAGTTGTATCCCCTTGATTTCTAATAGTGAAAACTCCCCCCCTCCTTGCCCCGTGGACGTAGGCATCTCGCCGAACCACGTAAAATCTGGTGTTTGATTGTTTGTGCTATTGTTTGGTGTAGTTGTTTATCTCTTCCGACGGTTGGTTTGGTTTCTCAAGGCACAACAAGTGGTATCAGAGCTCCGGGCAACGCTTGGGCTCTTTGGAGGTGTAGATCAGTTGGGAAGTTCATCTAGAGCTTCGATTGATGATAAAGGTGGGATATTTGTGGTAAAGTTTCTATCTTTTTCAAGTTGGATCTATTTCTTGTTTGTTCCGCAATAGTTTGGGTGCTTTGAGATATATGGCCGGAAAAGATAAAAATGGGGAGGGTTCTTCTAGTGTGAAGGCCGTCCAAAGTTTGAATATACATTCTATGAAAATAGACGTGGAAAAGTTTAACGACACAAATAATTTTGGACTTTGGCGATGCGAAGTCATGGATGCGCTAAATGCGCAAAATTTGGAAGACACGTTGGAGTTGGACGAAAAACCGGCCGACATTGATGATAAGATTTGGAATAAAATGAATAGAACGGCGTATGGTGTGATTAGGTCTTGCCTCACTCAAGATCTAAAGTATGATGTGATGAATGAGACTTCGGCAAAGAAAATTTGGGAGGTCCTAGAGGGCAAATATTTGACGAAGAGCGTCGAAAATCATTTGCATTTGAAGAGGAGGCTTTATCGCTTCCAATTAAAAAAGAGGACATCCATTAGTGATCACATGAACCACTACACGAAGCTACTTGCAGATTTGGTGAATGTAGATGTTATTGTTGAAGATGAGGACAAAGCATTGTTGTTATTGAGTTCCTTACCCGACAAGGAATATGGGACCTTCGTCCTCACTCTTATTAATGGGAAGACATCTTTTTCATATAGTGAGGTCACCGCGGCCCTTGTGAATTATCAACTTCATAAGAAGGACAAGGAGACTTCTATTGAGCCGGTTGCGGGGGCATTGGTTGTAAGAGCTAGAAGTCCAAACTGTGAAAGGAGGTCGCAGTCTAGAAGGGGACATCCTGCAGTGGGCAGGAATCAGTATGTATTTTGTAGAGAGGATGGACATTGGAAAGCCGAATGCCCAAAATTGCAAGCCGGGAAGAATAAGGGGAAAGCTATTCAAACTTCAGAGGTGAATGTTGTCAAGGCTAGTGGTGACATTTCAGATTCAGATTCTTTAGGCTATTCGTGCCCAGCTCTTCCGTCAGTTGGTGTTGCCGACTCCTGACATTTCAGATTCAGATTCTTTAGGCTATTCGTGCCCAGCTCTTCCGTCAGTTGGTGTTGCCGACTCCACCGAGTGGATGTTGGATTCGGGTGCTACTTACCACATATGCCCTAGGAGGGATTGGTTCTCCAGCTTTCAGGAGTTGGAAAGAGGGGATGCTGTTCTTATGGGTAATGATCACAGATGTCCTATTGGTGATATTGGTACCGTTCGGATTCGGACGAGTGACGGGATGGTTCGCGAGTTGGTTGATGTGAGGTTTGTTCCTCAACAGAGGAAGAACATTATTTCACTTGGGGTATTAGAGGAAGCATGCTATAGGGTGACCTTGGCAGATTCTCGCTTGAAGGTCACATCGGGGTCCATAATTGTGATGAAGGGCGTCAGGAGGAGTAACTTATATTATCTGCTTGGGAGCACAATGATTGATAGAGCGCTGATGACTTCTTTGGCTAGACTGTGGCATTAATTAGTGCTGGGATATATTATTGGTTATGCTGTGCACAGATTATTGAGGAGTGCTATGACCTGTAGATTGAAGTCCTGTGAACACATTGGGATGAGCGAGGAGACCGATGTGGAGTTCAGAACTTCTACCCACCGATCGAGGGGTCTTATTGGAGGTGTTCAGTCAGGCATTGGGGGCCTTCCATAGAGGCATCATTGGGAGGTAATCGTTATTTTGTTTCCTATGTTGGGGATTGTACTAGGTATTTATGGGTTGCAACCAAGTCCCTTTGGTATGAAGCCCTAGTAGTCCGCAACAGTTGGAGGAAGTGTATGGGCAGAAATGTTACCTATCGTACTAGTTCTAGTAGGGGTTCTTTCTTGCATTGGTGCCAAGCTCATAGCAGTTGGAGACACTTCAGAGGAGAGGAGACAGTGGGGCGACATGATGAGATGGCGGATCTAGTGGGCCGTTCCTTTCTGGAGGAGGATCTGCGTTGGTTGTCGAGCAGTTGATTTGGTATTCAGGCTTTGACATGTTTGGGCCATCTTATGAGGTTGCCGACTGCTGCGTGTAGAGTTGTTAGATCTGGTGGAGCTGTTTCAGATTTTAGTCGGCGTCGGATATTTGGCTACCCAGCACTTGGTCACATTGTTGATGTGAAATTGGATCCGATTGCGTATTTGGGATTCATGTGTTCATTCGGCTATCAGTTGGGAGCTTCTGAGTTTGGTCTGAGCAGGTTTGTCACTTTGGACTCTTGGCAGGTAGAGAGTATTGATCAGATCAGAGGGATACCGTAGCGGGTGGAGAGTGATGCTACTCCACATTGGGTGGAGCTTACTCCACATACTCCAGGTCATTCTGCATTATTGGTTTTGGCAGCTGAGGTGACACAGCGTGGGAGTCATTTGGATACGAATGCGGATGACGAGTTGGTAGATCCGAGTGCAGCTGGTGGATATAGCTTGGATACGGCCATTGTTTCACCTCAGGTGGAGGTGTTTGGATCGCTTCAGTTTGGGGTTGTTGATGATACTATCAGCCACAGTTTGGATTAAGGGCCTTTGGAGGCCATTGGGTGAACTACGTGAAGGCTCGATTCTTTGGAGAGGATACGTAGGCAGTTAGTTTTTGATGCAGCCGATTTGGTGAGTAGACACAGTTGTTTTGGGGTGAGTGTTCGCACTCCCGTTTGGGTCTCGACGTGTTATGGATGGGGTCCGTTGTCATGAGTCTCTTGCCATGGCATACTGGATTCAACAAGTGAGGCAATTGGTTTGGTTGGTGTCGGCTCAGTTTGGATGAATCTTTGCCGAGGTGGAGATTTGTAGAGATGGAGCTCTGAAGCAGTTATGGAAGCAGACAGATTGACGGTCGACCGCTGCGGTCGACCGCGTTCGTGCACAGGAGGCTCTGGGCGTTTGGATCAGTGGCGGTCGACCGCAGAAGTTTCTGTTTTCGGGGCGGTCGACTGCCGCGGTCAACCGCAGGAGTTTCTGATGGATCGCGGTCGACCCCACGGTCGACCGCCGTAGCGGTTTTGAGCTGGGTCTGTTTTCCAGACCTATTTTATTTGGGTTTTCTATAAATACCCAAACTCGATTCTAGGGTTAGTAAACAAGGGGGTTTTGAGCAGATTTAGAGGGTTTTCTTTGGGCTTTTATTCTAGGAGCAATTGGTGAGATCAAGAGTTGATTTGTTAAGGGTTTATGAGAGATTTGTAACCCTAGTTGTATCCCCTTGATTTCTAATAGTGAAAACTCCCCCTCTCCTTGCCCCGTGGACGTAGGCATCTCGCCGAACCACGTAAAATCTGGTGTTTGATTGTTTGTGCTATTGTTTGGTGTGGTTGTTTATCTCTTCCGACGGTTGGTTTGGTTTCTCGAGGCACAACACTACAAACATACGTGTAATAATATTGAGCTAACTAGATTATCAGATATTGAGCTAACTGGAAACACGTTCAGTGGAACAATCCCTTTAAACCTTGGAAACCCGCAAAATCTATATTTGCTGAATTTAGACCAGAATGAGTTTTATGCTAGAGATATTGGAGGTTGGAGCTTCCATGATTCTTTAGTGAACTGCAGTGAACTTCAAGCACTGAGTTTGGACTACAATGGTCCAAAGGGACTTGGTGCAGTGAACTTCAAGCACTGAGTTTGGACTACAATGGTCCAAAGGGACTTGGAGGAGTTATGCCCAAATTTGTAGCTAATCTCTCTACAAATCTACAATGGTTGGCGTTGGGGGGTAACAAGATTTCTGGAAGAATACCTGAAGAAATTGGGAATCTTGCAAGCTTAACTGTTTTTGGTATGGAAGAAATTTTTTTAAGTGGTAGTATTCCTACAAGTATTGGCCAAATTCAGAGTCTACAAGAAGTGTATTTATCTGGAAACAAGTTGTCAGGTACTATTCCATCATCTCTTGGTAACTTGACTCAACTGAATAAACTTCTTATAGGAGAGAATGCCTTGGAAGGAAGTATTCCTCCCATACTTGGAAATTGTCAGGTTCTGCGACTGCTTAGCCTTTCATACAATCAGATTACAGGTACCATTCCTAAAGAAATCATTAGCATTTCGTC